GCCCGGGTGAATTTTTGTATTTTTAGTAGAGACGGGGTTTCACCATGTTAGCCAGGATGATCTCGATATCCTGATCTCGTGATCCACCCGCCTTGGCATCCCAAAGTGCTGAGATTACAGGCATGAGCTACAGCGCCTGCCCTTTATTTATTTTTCATTTTTTAAAATTATTTTGAGACAAAGTCTATTCTGTGGCCCAGGCTGGAATGCAGTGGCGTGATCACAACTCACTATAGCTTCTACCTCCTGAGCTCAAGAGATCCTTCCACCTCGGCTTCCTGAGGAGCTGGGACCTCAGGTGTACATCACCACTCCCAGATAATTTTGTTTAAATATTTATTTATTTATTTATTATATTTTTGTGACGGAGTTTCACTCTTGTTGCCTGGGCTGGAGTGCAATGGTGCTATCTCGGCTCACTGCAACCTCTGCCTCCTGGGTTCAAGCGATTCTCCTGTCTCAGCTTCCTGAGTAGCTGGGATTACAGGCACATGCCATCACTCCCAGGTAATTTTTGTATTTTTAGTAGATACAGGGTTTCATCACATTGGTCAGGCTGGTCTCAAACTCCTGACTTCAGGTGATCCGCCCGCCTCAGCCTCCCAAAGTGCTGAGATTACAGGCGTGAGCCACCACACCCGGCAATTTGTTTTTTAGACAGAGTCTTGCTCTGTCGCCCAGGCTGGAGTGCAGTAGCGTGATCTCGGTTTACTGCAACCTCCACCTCCCGGGTTCAAGTGATTCTCCTTTCTCAGCCTCCCAAGTAGCTGGGGTTACAGGTGCACACCACCACGCCAGGCTAATTTTTGTATTTTTAGTAGAGACGGGATTTCACCATATTGGTCAGGCTGGTCTCGAATTCCTGACCTCAGGTGATCCATCTGCTCAGCCTCCCAAAGTGCTGGGATTACAGACATGAGCCATGCACCCGGCTTAATTTTTTTATTTTTGATAGAGACAGGGTCTCCCTATGTTGTCCAAGCTGCCAGAGATTTTTGGTTGGTTGTTTGTATGTTTGAGAGGGAGTTTTGCTCTTGTTGCCCAGGCTGGAGTATAATGGTGTGATCTCAGCTCACCGCAACTTCCGCCTCCTGGGTTTAAGCAATTCTCCTGCCTCAGCCTCCCAAGTAGCTGGGACTACAGGTGCCCACCAGGCTAATTTTTGTGTTTTTTAGTAGAGATG